CCCCGCCGCTCACATCACCAAACAAAGCGCAGCCCCCTCACCGCCTCCACCACGGCCTCCGGCCCGAGCGCTCCGACCCGTCCGTCGACCCCGGCCGCGGCGGCTCGCCGTCCCCCTCTAGCAGCTCGACCTCCGAAACCTCCCCGCTCGGCAGCTCCAGCTGGCGCCCCCCGACGCGCGGCGGCTGCCCCGGGTCGTGCGTAACCCAAATTACCGCGGCGCCGCAGCCCTTGAGCACGGCCTCCACCCGCCGCGCGGAGTCGAGGTCGCAGGCGCTGGTGGGCTCGTCCACTAGCAGGACCGACGGCTGCAGGGCGACCGCCACCGCCAGGGCCACGCGCTGCGCCTGGCCGCCCTGGGAGAGGGAGGAGGCGTGGCAGGGGTGGGGGTGCGTGCGCGTGGTGGGTGGGCCGAGCGCGTGTCGCGATTCGTGGTGGGGAACATGATCGTGAGCGCGGCGCCGGCGCATGCGAGCGCCGGCCGGTTGGCGTGTAGAAGCAGGGCCTCGTCCCGGGTCAGAGGATGCCGTCGCAGCCCCTATATGTGCAAGTTCACATCGATCACCGCGCCGCCGCCGCACCGTTGCTGCGGCCCACCCTCCCCCAGCGCGGCTGGCCCACCGGAAACCCTAGGCCTCGAAAGGCTCACCGACAGCGAGGCCCACTTCTGGTCGAGCACCACCTCAGGGTCGAGCCCCATGTCAGCCACAACCGCCGCCAGGTCGCCCGCGCGCCTGCCGCGCCGGGTGCCCAGCTGCCGCGCCGCGTCAAAGAACTGCGGGCGGCCGCGGGTGCATGCGGGCAGGGGGCGGCGAGCGGCGGCGTCGGGGCCGGGGGCGTCGGTGGCTGAGGGCCCGGTTGTGTACATGCTGCATGGCACTTCGCTTGGGCGCCCGTATATGACACTGCAATTATAGATCTGGGCCTTGTTGGCGAGACGAGGGCACCCATGTGGGGTGGGCGGTCCCCCGCATGCAGGTGTGCGAGACGGTGCGGGCCGCACCTCTCTGGGCGTCCCCGGGAAGTCGACGCGAGCTTGGTGGACGTACGTGACCTCTGACCGCCACGCCGGGATGCCCGTCTCCGTCGGCGCCAAGCCGCGCAGCTGCAGCGCGCCGCCCTGCGTTGCGGGAGGTGCGGGTCGGCGGCATCATCGCCAGGCGAGCCGAGGCGGGCGGTGAGCGCCCCGCACGGAGACTGCTTGGTTCCTGCAGCGCGTGTGATATGATGACAAAGACTATATAGGCAGACGCGCCATCAAAATCGCTTGAGAACCCCGACCACGCACCTCAGACGGGTCCAGGAGTGCCACTGTTCGCAGCAGCAGGGTCTTTCCGGCGCCACTGGGACCCTTGATGAACAGTACCTGCCCAGCCTCAATACTGATATCTATGCCGCTGAACACCGGCCCGTCCTTGCCAGGGAGCGATCTGGTGAGGCCACGCGCTTGAAGAAGCGCCATGGCTCCGGCTCGGACGTGTTTCAGAGGTACGACTCGTCCATATATGACGCGTTCACAGGATTTGCGCATGCTTCCAAGCGACAGTCAATGAGTCAACTTGTGCACACACCCGACGAATGACGCAAGGCGGCACCGTCCGCCTGCAACCGTCTGCCCCAACGTGCCAGCAACAACCCAGCTGTGGCTCGCTACGACACGGTATGTTACAACCCCGTCAGCCCGCGCCGCTGCCGCTCGGCGCCTCGCCGTCCCGCACGATCCGCGCCAGCGCCTGCACGTTGCCCTGCTTCAC